ATAATAATAAATAATCAGTGGAATTTTACCAATCATTGAATGGAAGCTACACAACCTATAAATCTCTGAAATTAAATTTCACAAATTATTGTGTGAGTGACTCTATAGTTGAGTAAATCCATCATCTATATATATAATAAGAATTAACATTTACCATAAATAGTAGTAAGGAAAAGTCAACCACATTTATTATATACTATTTTCAGCAACTTTTACATTTTACATTTTAATTTTAATTCATTATTAAAAAATTGGATGGTTCTTATATTAATGGGTTTTAAATGCACGTATCATGTTTCAAAAATTATAAATCATTTAAAATCGGAGGGTTCCTAAATTAATGGTTACAAACTTTTCAAAGTTGTAATCTTGATGGCATCTTTTCTTTTTGACTTTTAGTAATAAAATTATTTTAAATATATATATTCTAATCCAAAAATTCAACCATGTTAAAACTATATATATGCTAAAAATATTTTTTAAATTGCATACTCAATTAATTAATCTTAAATTTTTTTAAATTACTATGTTTATTTTTTATTAATATGCATAAAATAAAAATAAATAGTTCATCTTTAGATATATAATTTATAATTTTAATATACTATCATTTGGTGTAGACATATGAATCATAAAATATTTTTATTTCATAAAATTAAATATTATATTTAAAGAAAATAAGGAAATTACTTTGGATCAATCGGGTGATTGAATTAGGGTACTGCCCACTTTGATTGAATTATTTTTAGGTGATATTTAAAATAGTAAAAAAACTTGACACAACTTGGTTGGTCCGGTGTAACTAAGTTATGTATCAGTTTGACCAGACCAAATTGATTATTGAACCTAAATATAAATTTTAATATTGAAAATACTTTATTACATGAATGTGATGTAGTCCAAACTTCAAATAATCATATTAACAATACTTTTATGACAACATGAATAATGATTTATGAATATTTATATATCATTTTATTATTATTTATGTGAACAAAATATTTATTTCATTATCATTTTTATTAATGTACGGTAAATATAAGGTTTTCAGAATCGGACCGTCTTGTGGTTGTTCAGATTTTAATACATAATACTTATATATATATATATATTTAAATAAAAAGTGTTACTTAAATATCTAAACAATTTATAAATTCAAATGTTTAAACTAATTGATAAACAATTTATAAATCTCTATTTTATTTAAATATGTAATTTTATTTAAAATAATTTTTCATGTAACAAAATTTGTTTAGAAAATCGTATCGATCTTACCAGTCCAACATACTGGTGTTGGCGAATTCGATAGTAAATATTTTATTCAAGCGCACTAAATCGGTTATAAATCGGTTCTCGGTCCATGCGGTCGGACTGTGTCCAACCCAGTTTGATTTATAAATAATGGGTAAATTATAATTAATGTTATTTATTTATTTAATTTATAATAATACAATCAAAATATTATTTTCCCGTGCATCGCACGGGCCACGTACTAGTACTCTATAAAAGAAATTACATATTTATCCTATCAAATATCTTACTCTTATTTACGTGTTTTTTTCAAAGCATAACATTTATAATAAAAATATACACGTGTGATAAGAATATTTTCGTCTAATGAATATGCCGATCTAATATAGTGAAATTGCTCACTTACCCAACACCCACCGATAGGCACGTTAAATTTTATCCACCAACTATATATCAAGAATTTGTAATATTCAAATATTATTATGCTCATAGTGACAAAGCAAGAATCTTGTTGGAGCCCATTTCACAAAATGCATTCTTTAGATTAATAGAATGTATTTTCTTTCATCAAATGAACCATAGAAGGAATATTATTAAATGGCACTATTGTTAATTGTTACAGTTTGCATCCAAAAAGATTCAAAAAGTTACCACTGTTATTTGATCTCTGCATAAAATAAAAAATGAAATTTTGAAGAGAGAGAAGTAGTTCTGTGGCTTTGGATTCTTTAGCAGACGCCAGCTTTTTTGTGAGAAAGGGTAATCAGAAAATGTGCAAATAATATAAATTCTTGAAAATCTCATTTCTTGCCATTCTGATTACGAAAATATGCAGTCCCGTTAAATAAATAAAAGCTCCCAATAAAGACAAATAAATAAACAAAAAAGGGTTTGTCTGTCCTAGGCTCCTAGGCATTGAGCAATTGACAAAAACCTTTCTTTATTCCTTGTTCTGGGCTTTTGAGAATTTTTTATTAGTTTCAAGATTTTGCTTAAAATGTAAAAGCAAGTAGTAGATAGATACAGAGAGAGAGAGACAAGAGAGAAAACAGAGAGAGATGAGAAGGGTGAAGGAGATGGAGACAGTGGTTTTTGTAGCTCTTCTCATTTGCACTCTCAGTCTCAGCTTCATTAATGCAGACACAGATCCAAATGATGGTCAGCTCTTCATTTATGTTTATATATATATATGCTCACACATTTTTCTTTATTTTTATTTTGTGGGGTTCTATTTATGCATATTTGTATTTATTATACGCATATATGGGCTTGTCTCTGTGTTTGGGAATATTATTGGGTGTGTTGATTGCTTGAGGGTTCAAGGAATGGTACTGTAGCTTTTTCTAGGATATGATATTATGATTATATTATTAGTTAGATGGATTCTTATTCTGTTTTTCCCTAATTAGTGTTGAAACTTGAAAGTATAATCNCAACATCTTTTTGCTGCAATTTGGAAGGTTTTTTAATAGTAATATTTCTGCACATTTTGTAAAGAACCTTTTTTTTTTCTTTTTTTTGGATACACTGATAACTCATGTTTTTATTGGTCTCCTTGAACTTCAAGAAGCTAGCTATTTGCAGTTTGCCCCTTCTTCCAGTTGAACATTTTTTGCTTATCCAAACTCCAAAAAGATTTTGTATGATCATCACATAATGATAACTCGATTAGTAGTTTGTAATGAACTTTCGAAATTAGACAATGGCGGTTTGTTACTAGAAAATATGTAACTCAAATTTACTTAGCAATCATGATATGTGCTGCTTGAATTGCTAGCTTGATTGAAAGCAAAATAATCCATACGTTCTTCTTCGAGGATTTTCTTTGAAATATGAGTATCCTTTACAACATTGAATTAAGCATGCTCCCCCTCATTTTCATTATTCATCGACAAATTTAATTAAGTCCTTAAATTAACTATAAATTGCATGAATATAGCTGCTGCTATCAACGCCTTGTATACCGGTTTGAATCAGCCATCACAGCTCAGTAATTGGAACCCGAGCAGTCAGGACCCTTGTGGGCAGAATTGGGAAGGAATTACCTGCTCAGGCTCGAGAATTGCCGAAATGTGATTTATTCTGACGTCATCGTTTTTTTTTTCAATTCATTTCTCAAAGTTATTTACCACTTTCGAATTAAAATGTTTAGCCACATTTCTGATATGTTCTTTATTTTCTATCAGAAGGATATCGAGTAAAGGACTCACTGGAAATATGGGGTACCAGCTAGACAGATTGACATTTGTGACTACTTTGTAAGGAAAAAAAATGAATTTTTTCGGTATTGATTCTCTCGAGCTTCTGTCTAGCTAAACTCTATGATTTTT